TTTTTTTTTTTTTTTTTTTTTTTGTTTGACAAGTTCGACATTTTTTTTTAACGTATTACAAAAATTTTCTCGTTCTCACACATGATAGTGCACAGTCTGGTAATTCCGGTTCATCCTTTGCCCCTGTACGATAGCATAAGTATGGTTGATTTTGAATAATGTACACCCAAAATTATTGATAAACACAAACATTATTTTGCTCTTCTAGACATTAATAAAGTCTTTCTTTATCAATTAATATAAATTTACATTTTTTTTAATATTAAATTATTTGAAACATTAAGGTTTAGGTTTCCTCACTTTTTCTTTTTCTCTTGTTTACTTTCTATCCTTCTCTCTCTCTCTCTCGGTACCCTTAAGAGCATCATTTTTATCTAAAGCAATCATTTAAGCTATGGAATGGGGACAAGCACTGAGGCAGAAGTTTGCAACTTTCTTTGCGGATTAAAATTGTGTCTTGCAAGGGGATAAAGGAACTATGGATTGAGTTGGACTCCAAGATAACAGTACAGCTGGTTACACTAAACCATAGGGGACCATGGTTCATTCAATATGATTAGGAAGAAATTAGAAGAATTTTTAGTTCAATATCGACCATGTTTGGATGCTTCTTTATTTTACAAATAACGAGAGAGAAAAAGTATTTAGGCACTATCAATTGGTTACAAACATTGTTCAGAGAATAATAAGGTTGAAAAGTTTCCACTTGTCGAAATCAAGTCTGGAATAAAAAGAAAATGGTTTTTGGCCAATTCTAAGAAAGTCCATGCCAAATGAGAGCTATTGTCTCCTTGCTGTAATACCTTCTCATAATTTCAAAAACAGTAAATGCTTATACTAGAAACTAATTAACAAGGAATACTGTCAATAAAATAAGATCTATTAGATCATAACCATATAAGAAGTCATATACCAATTCAACAATAATATTGCTAATCTTACAAGTTCAGTATAACCTCAATCCACATCCTTATTTTATAGATTAAGAACCTAACAAAAGATGAATTCATAAAATAACTCAACAACAGTAATGCTAACCTTGCCAGTTCTATATAACCTTACTCATACTGATTCTAATGCTACAGATCATCTCCCACCACCCATAGGTAAAATAATATGATCCCTGCTGTTATCATATCCAATAGCTGTGCTACTACTACCATCACCATTTGCAATTGCAAAGGCGTTCATTTTCCCAGAAAGCAGGGATTCTGACTCTGCTTCATTGGGTTCTGTTTGGTTCCACGAGTGTTTTCCTGCTAATCTCAGACCTTCAAGTTCCTTAGCTACTTCCTTCATACTAGGTCTATCCTCCCCTTTAACATGTAAGCATATTTTTGCAAGCATAGCAACCGATGTTAACTCGTCACTGTTTCCTCCGCATATAATATTGTCATCAAGAACTTGGAATAAGCAGCTTCGCTCTAGTGCTAAAAGGAAATAGTTGGCTAAACTTCTCTCCTCTACTGGTCTGTCGTAGCTTAATGCCTTTTTTCCTGTTAGTAGCTCAACGAGGACTACTCCAAAACTATAAACATCACTTTTCTGAGTCAATTGGTTCGTTTGAATGTATTCAGGGTCTAAGTATCCTAAGGTTCCTTGCACTATTGTCGATAATTGAGTTTGATCCAGTGGAACCAATCTTGATGCTCCAAAATCAGACACTTTTGCAGTGAAACTAATGTCTAAAAGAATATTTGTTGATTTGATGTCTCTGTGTATGATTGGAGGGGAAGCTGCAGAGTGCAAATACGCAAGCACTCCAGCAGCTTCTGCAGCAACTCTTAATCGCATGTCCCAAGAAAGAGAACGCGCCTTTGTTTTACTGTGTATGTGTTCAAATAGGGTTCCATTTTCTATATATTCATAGACCAGCAGAGGAACTTGTGTTTCTAAACAACAACCAAGGAGCTTGACAACATTTCTGTGGTTGATCTGGGAAAGAACGATCACCTCATTGATAAATTGCTCAACTTGATGTGGATCAACTTCTTTGGACTTCTTGATGGCAACTAGTCGATTATCTGTTAACAAGCCTTTGTATACAGTGCCATAGCCTCCCTGACCAACAATTCTACTATCGTGGAAGTTGTCCGTTGCCTTCTTGAGTTCGGCTGAAGTAAATATCTTTGCCATAACTGGTGACTGCTGTCTTTGGGTGAGTTTTTCTTGCAACAATAAGCCACCATTTTGAAGAAAGAATTTTTGCTTCATTGTGTTCAACTTTCTTCTATTAAGCATTGAGTACAACCAGCAGACAACAAGTATAAAAACCGTAATTCCCAGAGAAATCCCTGCAATTGAAATTTTAGGTTAGTGTCAATCCTTTCCCTTTATTAAACAAATGAGCTAGAGAGTAAAAGGTACACATGTTAATGATGTAGGCAAGCTAGATAATTGTTCATCGGTTTAGACAATTTAATATAAATGAAACTTCAATACCAAAAGCAATACTCCTTTGGCACAACAATATGGTTTGGTGGCACCATTTACGAGCGGTTGGAAAAGTTGGTGCTTGCTAGTTTTTTTGGATACAGATTTTAAAAGGTTTAAAAACCACCTAAAACTAGTGTAATATAATTTTGATCGATTTTCTCAACCCATCAAATTAGCGGGTTTTGGCCGTTTTCGTATTCTCTTCTAATTTTAAACTCTAGAAAAAAATCATTTTCAACCAATATATTTTCTTCAAAATTGACTTGTAAATAAAAAATATTAACTAAAAAATTATTTATAAGCAAAAAGTTACATTTTAGTTAAAACAATACTCATAAGTAAAATATTACTTAGAAAATAAGAAATATTACCTTACAAATAAAAAATTATTTTCATGTAAAAAAATTGCTTTTAAAATAAAAGTACTACTAATAAGATAAAAATTCACTTATTAAATATAAAGTTACTTATAAGTAAAAAAGTTCCACCTAAAATTATATAAAAAGTATAAAATTAGCTTATAATTATAAATTTTACTTATAAGTAAATATGCTAACTTAAAATTTTAAGTTTTAAGTTAGATATTAACTTATATATATAAAAAAAATTACCTATGAGTAAAATCACTTATGAGTAAAAAAAAATTTATACAAGAAATTATAAATTGAAAATTTTACTACGGGACATATATTTAATTTTATTCTTTTTAAAAACTTTCAAAATTGGTGTATAATAAACTTCTAAGCAGAGGTTGAATAGCTTTAAAAATCGCTACTACTTAGGACTCCCAATCTCAAAGGAAAGAAAAATTGAATTTAAAATCTTAAAAGACACGTGGCCAAACAATTCATGATGTATTTCTAGATAATACACAGGTAATCAAACTTTAATACCTTTACAACCATCAATGAGGTATGGATTCCCTTCATAACCCTCTGAACAATAACAACGATACCCATTATCGGTTCCTTTACAACTGGAATTCGTGCTTTTACAGGCATAGCTCGACGTGTTCTTTTGAGACTCCTCACATGTTCCTCTGTCAATTGCCCAGTCAACCACCATGGGAAGCTCCTCTACATTCCTCAGAATTGAAAGACTATTTGGAGAAAAAGTGAATGCACTTTCCTCAGCAAGAAATGCGTAGCTGCAATTATCGACGTCCCAGACGGTAGTGGTGTCATTATCATAGCTCTCTGTGAAATTAGAATAGCTTTTCAATGTCAACTTAACTTTCCATACCCCTTTTGGGATAGACGAATGGCAACAGCCTACACCGGAACATGACCCGTCCTCCAGATCATCCTTGCTGGCACACTGGGAAGTGCACCCTGTCTCGTAATCACTCTTGTTATTCCGGCTCCCAGATACGAAAGCATAAGTATCGCAACCTACAACAGTGAACTTATTTGCGGTATTATTGACTGTGAATTCTTTGAACCGTATATAGGGGTCGATAGAGAGTGCTTCGGTGCCATTCCTATTATAACATTCTTTCGCTATGAACTGCAACACAGTCAATTGACCGTCCAGGGATATGTTTGTGATTTCTATGTTTGAGTGTCTCAAGAATGGTTTAGGAGGATCATAGTGGGTGTGATTACAAGTGACTAAGAATGTTTTACTAAGGTAACATCCTTCCCTTGTTCCAAAAGGGAAGGGAATGCTTACATCTCCACAACGATCCGTGCAGTTGGGCTTTGCTATTGGGAAATTTGTTTGTATAGAAACCGATTTTGTGGCAAAAATAAGCAGTATTACTAGAAAAAAGTGGGCTCGCAGCAAATGCATATGCAATCCCATGGTGAATTTAATTATAATTCTTTTTCCTAGATTGTGAATTACAATCTAAGCATTGTACAAACACATACTTGGAAGATGATTTCTTTTATAGCCCTTGTTTGAACTACATTATTTTCATAAGAATACATTTTTAAATGGTATATTGATGAAAATGTGTGGTTAAAAAATAAAGAAAATTTTTGAATTTACGTATAGTATTATTTTATTGAAAAATATGTAATTGAAACGATGTCAAATTATTTTTAATTTTTAATTTTTTTAATTTTTTTGGAAAATTGTGTGTCATGCAGGCCTTTTATAAGTCTTTGGCTAAGTCAATGAACGTATCATCTTGACTAAAAAGTAACCAGGCATGCTATTCATTCTGCTTTTTTAAAAAGCCAACTTTAAGACCATAAAATGTGTTCTCCTTTTCGATAAAATGAAATTGACAGCTTGAAAAAGACTACGATTTTATCTATACTAATGTTGAATCCTACGTATTAAACTTGAGTTCAGGAGGACAACACACCTCAAAGCAAAAGGCCAACATTTAGTATTACGTAACAAATATACTCGTCTTAACAAATATATTCTTAACACCATAATATTTGAAGAGTATACTTTTTCAATTTCTCTTTCTCGGGAAAAACATGCATGGTACAAAGTAGAATTAATTCTTTATTTAATTTCTTTTCGCAACTTTTCTTCATGAATTATATGTTAGTGGAAGCCAGATAAGGTCTCCAAATGGTACTCTTGCAGTGTGAAAGGTTGATTATTATCTTGGAAAACGTGAATACTAATTCTTAATCAAAAGTTTGAGTTCAAGTCTTTTTATAGTGTTTTAACTCTAAAACGTTTGTCACCACCTTAATCAAAAGTTTGAGTTCAAGTCTTTTATATTGTTTTAACCCTAGACATTTGTCTCCTTAATCAAAAGTTTGAGTTCAAGTCTTTTTATAATGTTTTAACCCTAAACATTTTTATTATTTTTTTTTAATGTGAAGAAACGTGATTATCGTTAGTATGATTATCTAGGGACCATTCTATATTTTTTACAAAGCTGCTATATGTTAAGTGGTCGTACCACTTGGCCTCCTCTGATTGGTCGTTCCCTTCGCTGAAAGCCATTGATAATTCTTTTCCTACAACTGTGATTGAGGATTAGAAAAATTAGTTTGATGAACTTGCTTATACCTCTATTATTTTGTGCTTATCTGATACGGTTTTGCAAAAAGTTAGCAAATATGACACCGTCGAAAAACTTTGAAAAAAGCTTGAGGAACTTTATTTGATTCAGTCCACGCCAACAAACTTTTCTTACTTGAATATTTTTCAATTTCAAATCTGATCCCTCAAAAGATTTATATGACAATGTCGACATTTTCTATAAATTGGTTCAAGATATTACAAATTGTGGTAAAAAGATTTCTGATGAATATAAATATATTATTCTTTGGAATGTAATTCCTAATAACTATGAGGACGTCAAGAATGCAATCAAATATGAAAGGACGGCCCCTTACATCCAATATAGTCGTCGATTCAGTAAGACTAAGGAGAGGAAAATGAGAGAAAAATAGGAGATATTCAACAAACAAGGGGTAGGATTCAGTTTAAAGATGGGGAGGGACAAAAGAGTGATGGCAAGAAAAGTGGAGAGGAGGATCTAAGTTAAAGGGAAAGGCTAATATGAAGGAAATGTTACGGTCGTGAGAAACAAGGACATTTCATAATTGATTGTCAAAAAGAAAAGAAAAACGTTGAGAGATCAAAGAAGTGGTGAGACCAGTGGGGCTAACGTTGTTCTCGAGAGACATAAACCTGGTGAGGTTTACATGCTCTTACATACCGAACCAGTTGAAATAAACCAGTCTACTAACTTCCATATACATGAGTGGATTCATGACTCCGATACTTCTTTTCATGTTATATCAAATAAATTGTAGTTTGATCATTTGCATAAATAAGATCATGGACATACAATTGCATGGGGTGGAGTTGCATATAAGATCACGGGCGTGGATAGTGTAACTGCCAGATTTGACAATGGTTTTGTGCACAGTTTTGATATTGATTTTGTGCACACAATAAAAGACGTTCAAGTATATTCCACATATGGGTAGGAATTTAATTTTCGTGGGAAAGTTGGAGCATACATGTTTCACTTGTGTTCTCGATGATGGAGTGCTAAAAATGTTTTTAAGGGAGCAATTATAGCCTTTGAGGCTACTAGAAACAATGGTATTTACATCAAATATGCTGAAGTAATGGATGGTTTAAATTCCACTATCACTGACACTGATCCCGAAGTGGCACAATAGGTTAGCTTACGTTAATGTTAAAGGACTTGAGTTTTCTAATGACAAAGGTATGTTTGGTAAGGATCAGGTGTCTAACATGCCATTTTGTTAAACATCGTATGATGTCATTTGTAAGCATATACAAGACATCTATACTGTTAGAATACATTCATGCTGATTTGTGTGGTTTAGGGAGCAATCCCTCCCACTTTTGGTGGTAATAAATATTTTCTATTTATTATCGATTATTTCTCCAGTTGTGTGTGCTTTTATTTGCCTAAAGATAAATCTAAAACTTTCATTATCTTAAAAATTGAAAAGTTAAGATGGAGAATCAGACTGGTAAGAAAGTGAAATATTTGCGTATGATAATGGTCTCAAGTTTTGCGATGCTAAATTTGATAATTTGTACAATGAATCAAGCATCACTAGACATAGCACTATACCTCACACCCCCTAGTAAAATAGGGTTGCTAAAAGGATGAATTGTACCTTGCTTGATAAAGTTAGATGTGTGATGTTAAGTTCTGGTGCTCGTAACTCTTTTTGGGGTGAAGCTATTATAGCCGCATGTTATCTGACTCATATGACTCCTAGTGCAGCTTTAAATGGTGAAACTCCATACGAGATTTGGTACAATAAATGTGATGATTATTCTATGCTTAAGATCTTTGGTTGTGCTACTTTTTCTTATCAAATTGAGGAAAAATTAGAACCTAGAGGTAAGAAATGTGTCTTCCTTGGCTACCCTAAGGAAGTTAAGGAATGTATATTATTAGATAGAAGCTAGAAGGGCATGAGAATAATCATAAGTCGCGATGTAACTTTTAACGAGTATGGGATGCTTTGTAAAAAAAGTGAAGAACAGTAAGAAACTGTTAGGAAAGAATTCCCTATTAAGGTGGAGCTCATGAGTATTCACATCCCGATCATCTTAAGAGAGATGGAGTGTAACACACAAAATCGACAGGACACAAAGTTAGAAGATGATGAAGAAGTTGTTAAGGATAACCCTATCGACTAAAACCCTCTAACTAATTATCAATTAGCTAGAGATAGCAAGAGGAGACTATATAGAGAACCTTAAGGGATGTCTAACTATATTGTAGCCTATACAGTTATCAAGAACTAGTTAATAACGAGCCTAATACCTATGAGAAGTGGCTAGGTGCCATGAGAGAAAAGATGAGCACTCTTACTAAGAAATAAACTTGAGATTTAGTTTTTAGACCTAAGGATAAATTCGTAGTTGAATGCAAAAGGGTTTATAAGATTAAGGAGAGAACCACTAAGAGTGAGCCCGTGAGACACAAGGCTATGCTAGTAGTCAAGGGGTGCACACAGAAGGAAGGGATCGATTATAATGAGATCTTTTTGCAATTGTTAAGTATACCACTATTAGGATCATGCTTGTTTTTGTTGCTTATTATAACTGAGAACTTGAATTATTTGATGTTAAAACTACTTTTTTATATGGTGACTTTGCTAAAAAGTTTTTTTATGAATCAACCCAAAGGTTTTGAAAGTAAGTCTAAACTTGAGAATGTGTGCTTTTTAAAGAAATTTCTTTATGTGATAAAATAGTCTTCACGTCAATGGTATAAAAAGTTTGATTTTTATATGTTGTCTATTGGCTTTAAGAGGAGTGAGTTTGACCATTACTTGTATTACCTGCACTATAGCACTAATAAAGAGTGTGTATATTAGTTACTTTATATGGACGACATGTTGTTAATTGGACCTAACAAGAAGGTGGTAAACAAGACTAAAATGGATTTAGGAAAATAATTTGACGTGAAAAGACCTAGGACATGCTAGGAGGATCCTTGATATAGAGGTTAATGGGGATAAGTCTAATTCTTGCCCATATGTGCATCAAACTCCTTACATGCTTAAAGTTTTGAAGAAATTTGGCATGCTTGATTACAAACTTGCTTCTGTACCTCTTGGAAACCATTTTATTTTATCAAAAGAAAAATCATTTGCTAATGATGAAGAAAGAGAATTTATGAATAATATTCCTTATTCAAATATCATTAGTTCCGTCATGTACCTTATTGTTTGTACTAGACCAGATTTAGCTTTCACTGTAAGTGTTTTAAGCATGTATATGTCTAATCCTAGTCCTAAATATCATAAAGCATTAGAGTGGTTACTTAGAGACATGAAGGGTACCTAATATGCTAATGAGGGTATGAAACTTAGAGGTTTCACAAATAGTTACTATCGTGATGATAAAGATAATAAGAAACGTACTTTCTCTTATGTGTTTACTTTGTGTAACTCTTGTGTGGTTGGAACTCTCAACTTCAACATATAGTTGTTATATCTACCATTAAATTTGAGTATATTGCTGCCACAAAAGCTTTAGAGGCTTACTTTATGAACTAGGTATTTTAAGTGACAATGTGATTGTATACTTCGATAGTTATTTGCTATTCATCTATGTAACAACCATATGTTTCATTAATGCATTAAACATATTGATATTAGGTTGCATTTTATTAGAGATGTAGTGTCTCAAAATTTGATAAAACTTGAGAAAGCACATTCAAATTATAACCCTACAAATATGAGCACTAAGGCACTTCCCGTTAGTAAAGTTTAGAAGTTCACATGCACTTTCTAAACATTTGTAAAAGTATGTGATGTTTTAATTTTATTTGAAATCATGTTGTACGACTACTAAACTAGATTTTTTTTTCTCTTTTGCAGGTGCATTTGGCATTAAGGTAAAGGTTTATTAGGTATTTTGATACACAATATATTCGGGGT